CCGTTTCATCTCATAGGGTTAGATTAGGATTAACTGGAGAGTCCGTGACTCATTCACTATCCAAGCCCGCCCTGGACCTGGACTGTGGGAGATTTCAAGGATTGGAGAAGATCGGACTCAAGATATTCATCCCTAAATATCTCAACTTTCCTCTTCAATTATCCTTCTCTTATTTAAACAACCTTCAACTCCTTTTCAGATCGACCTATTATTCTATCGCTATTTGAATAGTAAATCCTTTTAACTCTTTTAAACTTTGAATCATTTCAAACAATCTTCCTTTTTGACAACATTCTTTAATATTATATAAGCTTCACCACCTTCGCCATTGCAATCAATAGATTTTCATCTTCAATCTTCGCAGCAGACCAATAACGACATCGACATCGACATTGAGAACCCATTTCCACCCGATCCTTCGTTTGCTGCACGACGACAATGCAATAGATTAGCTACGAAAGTTTGCAATTTTACGAGCAACATATCACACAATTCCTTCCCCTCATTACTCGAACCTAGTTCCCTCATTTTCTACTCACCATGGGTTCACAACTACCTCCAGATCCATATAAAATTCTCGGTGTTGAAAAGGATGCGACGTTACCTCAAATTCGATTAGCACATCGAAAACTTGTTCTCCAGTGTCATCCGGACAAGGTTCAGGATCCTAAATTAAAGGCAATAAAGGTTGATGAGTTCCAAAAGGTCCAAGAAGCATACGAAATACTTAGTGATGTATCGAGAAGATCAGAGTATGACCAAACAGTCAAGCTACAGAAGTTGAAGGAGGAGTTGAACAAGACTTCGACTTCCGCTTCGACTTCGACCCCGACTCCGGCTTCGACTAGTAGTAAAGCTTATGAATACAATGTTAGGACTGCAGAACCTAAAACAGCAGCTTACAGTTCGTCATATCCAAAGACCACGCAAAAGACACCGAAAGAGTCGAATGTATATTCAAAACCGCCACCGAGATCTTATGAGGATCTGTATGATGAACCTGCGAGACCATCTGTCAGGAGGTCAAAAACGACATCTAGAGATTCGGAAAGAGAGGAGAGGGATCGACGAAGGCAGCAGGATGAAGATGATAGGGAGAAGTTAAGACGGAAGATGGAGAAGGAAACAAAACGTGATCATGGGGATCGAAAGAAGTCTCGCGATAAAGAAAAGAGACGTGGCACAGAGGATAAAGTACGTCCAGGAACATATGTAGAGGATGAGTCCAGTGAGGATGACTATCGACGAAAAGCCGAACGAGCACGAAGGGAGGACGCAATAAGAGCTGAAGCTGTTGCTCGGGCTCAAAAAGAACGAGAGGCTCGAGATCGGGAACAGCGAGAATGGGAGCACCGTGAAAGAGAACGAGAATTACGCGACAGGGAAAGAGAGAGGGAAAGAGAGAGAGAGCGCGAGCGAGAACCTGCTGCTGTGAAAGACTCGCCGATGGGAGATAAATGGAAAGATCATATGGTAAATGCGGCACGTTATGTGCAAGCTTCACGTAGGGAGTCGGATATCAAACCAGAGGTGCCGCCAGCACCACCTGCAATGCCTACGATGCGTCGTGCAGATACCTTTGCTGCGCCATCATCTGGACCATACAATATCCGATTTGAGATGCGCCCTCCTGCCTACGATAATCATAGTGATGATGAGATACCCCGGAGGTCTTCAGCAGCACGGCCATCACGGCGTCCCGTAGAGACTCCCTCGAAAAGCAAGGATGCGCCAAAGCCAACTAGAAGACCAGCTAGGGAGTCACCGTTTGTCAATACCGGGTCGACTTCACCTACAAAACCAACCCTTCACAAACAATATTCGGAACCACCGATAGTTGGAGTTGCTTCGGGTAGACGAGAACCCAGTCGATCGAAAACGGATTATCCTCGAGAACCACCTCCACCGCCTTTATTTACCAGAGCAGCTACATTTACACAAGGGATGGGTACAAAGGAAGACCATAGAGATAGGGGTCGTGGACCAAGCCGAATGGTTCAGGAACCAGATTCGGACACTGATTCCGGGTCTGATTCGGAGTCTCCGTCACCCACACCACAATATTCTCATATTAGACAGCCTCGACGTGAAGCTCCGGAACCTACTGGTACCACCAAAACTTACGTCATCAGTAACGGGCGAAGTGAACTCAAGAATTCTTCGTATCGATCGGATCCCCGCGATGATCCTTACATAAAGCGAAATCGAAGTCCGTCGCCCCGTCGAGCTACTCGTCCTCCTTTGACACGAAATGCTGGAAGTTCTACTCGCCAAGTACGATCGCAATCACGAGGATATCACCCGACACCAGCGCCCGAGCCGGCTGAGCCCATAGTTCTCAGTGCTCAACCACCCAGATCTCGGGATCCTTCTAGGGGTGCAAGTCGTGGTGTATATCCACCGCAATACAATATAAACTTTGCTCCTCAAATCACACCGGATAACGTTCTTTACAGCGGAACTCCATATGTTAATCAAAGAAACACCGAATCGGGGCATCATCGCGATTATCCGCCGTATCCCACAGCTCGTGGTCGGGAGTCGGTCTACTAAGCATCTGCTCCACACCAAATATTTTCTCTTTCACGATTTGTTACATAAATTACCTTTCTTGTACCGACACCGACTTTTTCAACCATACCCCTTTTTATACAGTAACGAAAGCACAGTACATCACATTATGATTCCCCACTTTTCTTTTTTATAGTTTTTCTGATATATTTTTTTTCTTACTTTTTTTTTTACGGGGATAAGACAAGCACGACGAATTATGCAATAAATCAGACAGACTTTGGCAGACGAGGCGAGAAGATGGGAGAAAATTTTCTTCCCTATATATAGCCCAAAAAAAAAAAAGAGACAAGAAAAACATTGAAAAAAAAATCTTCTAATCTCACACTTTTCGATTGGCTTTCTTCTCCTCTAAGTCGCTGCAAGGGTTTGAAATTTGCTATTGCATTGAGTCGGGTCAATTATTCATCGTTGTAGTTTTATAAATGGATGGTATTTTGGTCTTTGGGTGGATGGGTTGGTTGGAGTGGGTATTGATAAGCACATAAAATTGCTATTATGCAGTCTCACGAGAGAAAGGATGAGAGGAGAGAGGATGAAATTGATGGATTTACATAGGGGGAGAGATGAGATGATTGAGTTTTTTTTTTTGGCGGCATTTGTTTGCGCGAGAGCATGATGATTAACTGGACATCATTTGGGTTGCCATGGTATATGGATGATTTTTCACATGGGCGGAGTTGAAGTTTGAGGCCGGGAGATATTCTTGAGAGCAGAGGGAAGAGATATGTGATGTGATGAGGAGAGATGAGATGATGGAATAAGGATATAATTGAAGATACATGCAGACCTGTGGTTTATGTACCTGGCTGCTGATTGATGGCTGGAATGATAGATATGAGATATGATTGAATGAATGAATGGAATTCTACAATAGCTGACTTTGTTTAAGTATGTGTTTTTTGTGTTGTGGATACGTGATTGTAAGTTGATTCTATATTAATCTGTATGTCTACTCTATCTATTAGCTATCTGTGACTAGGAGAGTGAAGAGGTGCTATTATTTATAGGATCTGGAGGATGGTGGGTGAATGTGGGCTGGGATGAGATAAGATGGGATGAATGGTATGTGGTGATCATGAATGGGGGGGGGGATAAAAGTAAGATCTTATCTAGTAGGATTTAGATATCTGGGTACCTATTCGCGTAGGTAATATGTATGTAGGAGATCTATGTTATTTGTATATATTGTCTGTATTATATAGATGTATATATATATATATATGTGTATTTGTATATGTATGAACGGATATACAGTCGCAATTCAAGCGAGGTATATATACGTCCTGCTAGTGAAAGGAGTATCTAGTACAATAAACAAAAGGAAAGAAGAAAAGAACAACGATTGAACATTTTGGTATCTAACTTTGCAATGAGGAAAAAGAAATAAAAGAAATTGGTATCCATCTATGCAGTATAAAAAAGCTCTGCCAGCCATCCCCTATACCTCCCAACCTATATAATACACCATCTCTTCCCTTCCTTGATACAAGTGAAATACCCATCCTGCCCAGTTCACCTTTCCACCCTTTTTACAACAAAACATACAAACTACACATACCACTCAAACCCAAAATCATACTACACCAAAAACACACATTATTCAACACCTTCTTCCCTCTAGCCCAGGGTCTACTTTGTAACCAAATAATGGGAAGTTGACTCATCTGGGCTACCATTCCATAACCTCTAATTTTCTTGGTGATACAAGCCATGACTATTTCGTGACCAATGGCACTAATAAAGAAAGTAATAAATGTAGCTCCTCCTTTTCCGATGTATGAGCGAGAGCCGAGATATACGTGACGATGGAAGAAATGATGGACGGGAATGTTCCATTCGCGGGAGAATTGCATCCAGTCGGTACTGTTCCACCAGTCGGAGTAGAAATGTCGATCTGCGAAACCTGTGGATTGAAGATGTTGTTAGTCAGGCGCAAATTAGGAAAGCAGAAAAAATGTGTGATAGATGCAAGTAGATTTGGGCGAGGGAGCGGGAACTAATGAGTTAAAAGGATATACGCACATGTTATCTCAGCAAAAGCACCGAGGACGAATTCAAATATTACAAGAAATACGAGAAGGAAAGTTATCATAAATGGAAACAAAAGTAAACTGATTGATTCAGCAATGACAAGTGCATTTTCAGTAATCGAGGTTGAAGTCTGAAGTTTAATCGCCGATGCTGTCATGACTGGATGGATGAATTCTTCCGAAGTGATAGTGAGTAAGAAAATGACTCCAAATGTGGCAAGGGTCTTATAACCCAATTCCGACCAGACTATACCATTCGTACGAGGATATTCGAGCTCATAACAGAGTGTAGGACAAAATACATAATCGGCATAATTATACCACGTGAGATTTTTAGGATAGGTGACTGAGCCCATTGTTGATGTCAATTCGATGGCCAAATCCTCTCTAAGAATTGCAATTTCGTCAGCTTTGGTTTGAGTAAGAGCTCTGATCTCTGATGCTGTTCGTTTGTGACCTGGACTTGGACTTGGATATTGATATGCTGGAGCTTTTGAAGCAGTCGCAGGAGAGTCTAGTTCTTGTAATCGTCGTTCGGTTTCACTAAGATGACCATTGTAAAATGCATATGAATGCATTTTCATAAGTAAAACCATAGTATGAAGTAAAAGAAATACTTGAGCCGTCCATGTCCAATGTCGATAGAATGGTATACTATAGTATTTGTTAGCCTTGCGCTTCGTTTTCGCACGCAGTAGCACTTACGATACCCAAAATGCCATCCAAATTATATGATATAAACTCTGTATGACCATTCCACCTCTGGTCCATTGCAAACCCAATGCTTTCGCCGTCTTACTTCTGAAAAACTTATGAAGAGGGAGACTAATAGATGTAGATGCAACCATAAGGGCATCTGCGACTGCAAGCTCCCAGACCTTTACTGTGAATAGCTGCCAAATCTCCACTCTCATAGGATATCCTGTATCTTTGATATTTCGTAACATGGTTGTGATAGCCATGATGGCAAGACCAATCCAGAATAAAATATAAAATCCCGTGAAGTCATGATGATCGCTATGTGGATCTAAATGCGAGACTCGTGAGGTATATTCGATTATTGGGAAAATACGACGTTTTTGCTCTGCTTTAATTTGTCTCTTGGCAGAGAACATCGATTGAACGGAAGGAGGCGCATCTTCAGGAACGGGTGTTGTACGTCCACTACTCAATATTAGTTACAGCAATAAGTTCAGAATGATAGATTTACCTGGTTGGGCCAGTAGAAATACCATCATCGGAGACATCTTTAATACCATTGACTGGTAATAACCCCTCTTCACTTATTTTTCGAATAGTAGTTGAATTATGGATATTTTGTGGCCTAGGACGTAGAATTTGATCATGACTATTCCCATTGGTATAGATATCTGCAGAAGAAGACATTTCGTATGTATTGAAATGGGATTGAAGCTTGCGTGAAGCTTGTCGCAAGTTCGCAACAGAACAATCTGGGGTAATGAAGCTTCTTATGAATGCCCCTTTTGGCACAAATTTATATTTGGAAAAGTTGTCGAACTTTATTGATTCATTTAAAATGTAACATTTCATAAAGGAAATTAACTAAAATCAAATTTACCTTGTGTTTCCTCATATATAAACCTTATTATTAGAAGAATGATTCTGACTAGATTGATTTGATTATTGCTTACTCCATATGGTGGATGATTGTCGAGGCTATGGTTCGTAGTTCGTATTCCCACTTGTTTCGCCTTACCCGCATGTAAATTACGGGTCATAGCCACAGTAGGCTTAATCGCAGCCTTGGGCGCCACTTTCGACTAGCACAAATATGGACTAGATCAAACTTGGAAGATGCATCTCAAAGACATCAAGAACATCAAGCGAATATGGTGGCCTTTGCATCACCAATTGGGCACCTCAGAAGACAATCCGACAATTAATTCACATTATTTCATCTCCTTTTTGACGCAAAATTTTGACATTTCTTAAGCTGGGAATTTTTAGAAGTTTGCCCCGTTGTGGGCCTTGAACAGTGTCAGAATGAGTTCATGTAAGTAGTAAACAAAGATCTCCAATACCCCTCGATTTCCCAAGCTCATATTATATAGTGAAGCAATTCATACGCAATGTGCGAGCTTCGAAAACAATCGCAGATGAGCGCGCAGTTGTCCAAAAGGAAAGTGCTGCTATAAGAGCCAGTTTTCGTGAAGAAAGTGGTGATCATAATGTTAGGTAGGAAGGTCACCGCTTGTTGATTTGGATATATCTGACATTTTGGATTGATAGACGAAACAATGTAGCAAAGCTATTATACCTATTCACCTTGGGTGAGAGAACACATTTTGGTCAAATAGAATGTCTCAAGCTTCTGGCTTCTCCAAGATTCGCAGATAAGAGGTTAGGATATTTAGGCACAATGCTTCTGCTGGACGAGAATCAGGAGGTATTGACATTGGTTACGAACTCTTTAAAGAAGTATGCGCAATTTTTATATTCAAAGGAAGCATGATGCTGATTCAATATAGTGACCTCAATCATTCTAACCAATATATCGTTGGTCTGGCTCTATGTACCCTAGGCAACATTGCATCGGTTGAAATGTCTCGAGATTTATTCCCCGAAATCGAAACCCTTCTCTCCACCGCGAACCCATATATTCGTCGCAAGGCCGCATTATGTGCCATGAGGATATGTAAGAAGGTACCAGATCTGCAAGAACATTTCCTCGAAAAGGCGGCAAACCTTCTTTCGGATCGAAACCATGGTGTTTTGCTGTGCGGTCTTACATTAGTAACAAATCTTTGTGAAATGGACGAGGCCGAAGGTGGAGAGGAAGGAATCGTGGAGAAATTCAGACCATTTAGCGGAGGTTTAGTCAGAACACTGAAGGGCTTGGCTAGCTCCGGTTACGCCCCTGAGCATGATGTTACTGGAGTTACGGATCCATTCTTACAAGTAAAGATATTACAATTGTTGAGAGTTCTTGGCAGGGGAGATCCAGAGACCAGTGAACAAATTAACGACATTTTGGCCCAGGTTGCTACGAACACGGACTCCTCCAAGAATGTTGGAAACTCTATTTTATACGAGGCTGTCCTCACTATTCTTGATATTGAAGCCGATTCTGGTTTGAGAGTACTTGGTGTCAATATCCTCGGAAAGTTCCTTTCAAATCGGGACAACAATATTCGATATGTCGCTTTGAATACACTTATCAAGGTAGTCGCTATTGAGCCAAATGCAGTCCAAAGACATAGAAATACTATCCTTGAATGTCTGCGAGATCCCGATATCAGTATCAGGCGGCGTGCATTGGATTTAAGTTTCACTCTCATTAATGAGAGTAATGTTAGGGTACTTATTAGGGAGCTTCTTGCTTTCTTGGAAGTTGCCGATAATGAGTTCAAACCAATCATGACCAGTCAAATCGGTATCGCAGCAGACAGATTTTCACCAAATAAAAGATGGCATGTGGATACCATGCTGAGAGTTTTGACCTTGGCGGGAAATTACGTCAAAGAGCAAATTTTGTCCTCATTTATCCGACTAATTGCGACAACCCCTGAATTGCAGACTTATGCGGTACAAAAGCTTTATACTAGCTTGAAAAAAGACATTACTCAAGAAGGTCTTACTTTGGCCGGTGCATGGTGCATTGGTGAATATGGAGAGACTTTATTACGTGGTGGACAATACGAGGAAGAAGAACTTGTGCAAGAAGTCAAGGAGAATGAAGTTGTGGATTTGTTCTCGACCATTCTCAACAGCAGTTACGCCACCCAGATCGCAACCGAATATATTGTCACATCTTTGATGAAGCTCAGTACACGTTTATCCGACCCTGCACAAATTGATCGAATTCGACGAATTTTAGCAAATAATGCAACAAACCTTGATGTCGAGGTTCAACAGCGAGCGGTGGAATATGGCAACTTGTTTAGTTATGACTCTATCAGAAAAGGTGTTTTGGAGAAAATGCCTCCACCACAAATCAAGGAAGAGTCACGAGTACTGGGAGAGGCAAGCAAGAAACCGAGCAAAGCATCAAACAGAAAGTCGAAGACGGTCAAACCGGCAGAACAGGATTTGTTGTTTGATCTAATGGGCGATGGAGGAATGCCTGACGCAAATGTTGGTGGTGCTAATGGGGGATCTCAAAATAATGCAGACCTTCTAGCAGACATCCTTGGAGGCACTGGTTCATCTCAACCCTCATCACCTCCGGCTCAACAGTCAAACATGAGTTCAATCATGGACTTATTCGACAGCACACCAGCTCAACAACAACCTTCTGCTATGACAACTCCCTCAAATGATCTCTTCTCTGGTGTATCTTCACCTCCACCTCAAGCACCTTCAATCCCAACACATCCATGTTACGACAAGAATGATCTCAACATTGTCTTACAACTTCAACGAAATGCAGAAGGTGTTGTACAAGTATTGGCTCGATTCAGAAACTCATCCATGCATCAATCTTTGTCTGCAGTGGCATTACAAGCTGCAGTACCCAAAACACAAAAGCTTCAATTGAACGCAATGTCAAATTCGAATTTGGGTCCTGGGGTAGAAGCAACACAATCAATGAGAATTACAGGAAGTAAAGGAGTAAGTTCACTTAATATGAAGATTTTACGGGCTAGCTTGCTGACTATTTTAGCCGCCATTACGATTGAGACTAAAGATTTCTTATGCACATCAAACTGCGGGACAAGTTACGGATCAGGTAGACTGGTCGGAGCCAAGGTAGTAGCGTCTTAGGTATCCGGAATACATTTAGAAAATTTATGATATATTATTACTCGATGTACTACATGAAGTCATGTGGTTGGTGGCCTATTTGTCTTCGTTCAGGTACCAGCCTGTTTTGAAACTTGATTAGCCAGTCTTATTGAGGTTCGTGATGTTAGTGGCAGAAGAGACTAATAAGATAATTATTTAAAAACCTTAGGCTTTGAAGAATTCGTTTGATGATCAATTTTGGTATCTCGGATGCCGTCGATGGTGTAGTCTTTTGTTCTAACAGCCCGGAAACGTTCGCGGGCAGTGATGACATATCACTTTTTAGAAATATTCAGCAGCCGAATCTACCCACGAGTTGCTTCCGAATTTCTACTATTCAATGGCAAATGCGTGCTCACAGCGACCTCCAAGCATGTCGCAAAATAACTGGCATCTTGGATAGTGAACGATCAGAAAATCTTACAATGAACCTCTCGCGATACCATATATGATGAACTGCAAGGCAAAATGGCGTGGGTGTTCAAAGCGTTTTCTCTAGACTAAGATGCTGATAGAATTTGCCGTTTTTGTTATGACTTGTTATTTCCGTCGGTTGTGAAAAGGGGTGAATCATGTTCCCCACATGACATTTTATTAGCGAATAAACAAACCAATGACGTTAAGATTTACGGCTCGTGATGATTCGAGTTGTCATTTCTTGATTCGTAATCTATGAGCTTGATTTGGAGAAGTGCATCAAACGATTTGTGTCTTTGAAGGTATTGGGTGTTTTATTAGGAATAGTCGCTATGCATCAACTTGCAAGTGGATGACGATTCTCATGGCAAAGGGAGTTATGTAAAGTAGGAGTTTGATGAGGTGAGGCGATAAAGTACTACATTATTTATTAGATAGATGATATACTCGTACAGGACTTAGCACATCATTGGCACTCTTCACACAAATATGCCGTGAACGCTAGTCAATTTTGTCATGCCCGTATCTCTACAGTAAATCTTACCAGGTTTCATAATCGTTGCATATTCTTCCGAGTTCAGAAACTGTTTAATCCAGATGTAGCTGTGGTTAACATACGCGTGGTGTAGAACTTCTCAAAGAGACCAAGTGGCTTTTACGAGGTCCGTTTCAGATATATCATGGGCAAAAGTCTGTCGGTGCGGATGTTGCATGTGTAACTATGCAAGTGCTCATGCGTGCTCATGGAAATGACAATTTTCTTTATAATTTTCTAAAGGAGATTGGGAGTAATTTTGCAGAGAACTGTGCTTGGTATTCTTGTTAAGTGTGAACATCTGAAAAACATTACATTTCACGTCCTTCGATATGGATACCACGATGCTGAGCCCAATCCTTGTTATTGGAGATCGAAATTGTTCTTAGTCCTAGCTGTCGATATTCTTGATCATAAACTAGTACTTAAAGGAAGAAGTCATGGGAATGTCTGATATCGTTTGGCGGCTTCTAGCTCGTAATTATATTTCGCAGTTCAAATCTCGTTTCTGCAACCCACCAGGGTATCCAATAGTTCGGACTCCAATAATGAAAGCCTTCGAATAATCTGATCTGATTGAAACGTTAAAAAATCTGCAGTACTGGATTCGATTAAAAATTTTAACTTCATTTGAACAATAAATTATACTCAAATGTCTAGAACTTTTCAAACGTTGAAATCTTAATTAGTCTGCTGATCTGTTGACAACCAGCAACCAAAAAAAACACAGAGATTATCGTGCCTTTTTTAAGATCAAAATCTGTACCAATACCATATAAACTCACCAGATACAATTAACACTTTCTCTATCATTGAATAAAGTTTTGTTTATATATTTGGAAAGTGGGTTGGTTAACAAGTAGAAACTTTCAACCCCATTCACTTATTCTACCACCCGGAGATAGAAAATTATAATCAACCTTATTTCAGAGGGTTTAGTGTAAATTGTGACTGGTGAGTTTATAGAGCAGTTACTATCCAATATAGATATTAAGAATACACTTCCAGTCATGTGAGGCCTGCGCCAAAAAATGTCAAATCAAACGCTCTTTCTTGCATTAAGAGTCAACTTTTAGCCGCCCAAAGAATTCGACAAAAAAAATCGATCTTTATTTTAAACAGTTCTTTAAACACCTATGTATGCGGTGAAGCAGTAATTGGAAGCAAAATGACATCTGTCCCAACATCCGATGGAGAGCGGGCGAGTATCTTGTGGCGCGAGGGAAACGAATTATATTTATCGGGCAAGTTTATTCCAGGTACGATATCATTATTTCATTTGCTTACTAAAGTATGGTGCCTGACCCTTCACGTTACAGCTTTGAGAAAATATCGAGAATATGCCAACCTTCAACCGCCCAGTTATGCATTACTTGACAATTTATCGGCCGCGTACTTCGAGGTTGGGGATTATGGTCAATGCATCACAGAGATTAGAAAAGCTCTCGACTATTCGCAAACCCACGATAGAGGGAATAACGCATTCGTAGAGAAGTTCCAACAGCGGATAAAGAAAGCGGAGTTACTTTCATACAAATCATCTGAATTGAAGCAGCAGCAAACTAGATTAAGGATTCTTGAAAAATTGCCTCGCTATAGGCCAACATTGTAAGGTTCATCCTACATTCTTTGACTTATCTGACCGTTATTTCCATAGCACCATTACGGAACCAGCTTGCACACTTGGCAACGAGAAACCCACATCATTGTTTGATCTCACCATTGGTAAAAATGAGCCTGTGTCTGACAGTGTCTCCTTTCTATTTGGAGATATTGGTGACGCACGTAATTTACTCCAAACCATCGCTAGAATTGCTGAGCTCGAAAAGGAACACAGCTTAAAGCAAAAGCAATATCATCTAACCATGATTGATGTCAGCAGAAACACCCTTACAAGAGACCTGATCATTTTCATGTTACTGGAAGAACTGTCTGGTCTTGAAACGAAATCTAAAGAGGCTGAAGAAGTCTTGACTACACTATTTTTTGTCTTCGTCGCCTTCATTATGCCCCGTGTTGCCTATAATCACCTTTTTCGCACCATCGATCGGGCCCTCTCCGCACTGCAATCCGATATGCAACCTTTGAGCTGGATTTACCTTTATAAGAAGGATTTTCCCTTTTACATTCAAACCTTGGAAAGTTGGAAAGGCAGGGCTTCCACTACTATCACCGTTGCCGACGCAGTAGATGAAGTAACTCGCCAACTACGCCGAGATAAAATGCTAATGCCTCCCGCATTGCGCGGTGATGAGGATATGCCCACTGCGTTTAAAAAGGAGAATAAACTGTACAAGGCTACAGCTATTCTCATACCTCCCAAAACAGTTTCTCAAAACCACGACCGTGAGATACTGCCACTACTTCAAGTTCATATTAAACATCCGGAAAAGAAAGCTTCAAAGTTCAAAGAGCATGTGCGCAATAAATGGAACTTTAATACAACCCGCATGGACCTTGATTGGTATGATTTCCTCGAGGACAAACATGATTTTGATTTTTCCAATGATCCTTTTCTTGAACTGGACAATTTCGCCTCTGTATCCAAAACTTTACCTGCAAAAGTAACGAATCCAACCACTTTATATGATTACATTACTCCATTTTTTTTAGATGCCGCCGACTCCATCAAATATCTCAAAGGTCGTCTCCAGGTTGAAGCAATGTGCGGAGATTATGTTGACTTCGCCGAGAAACTGAGATTCAGTCTGTACCGCAACAACGACAGCTTACAATCATCGGAGGCCGCAACATTGGACGAAACCCGTTGCAAAAAATTCCCAGTGTTGTATAACCGAATATATTTGGGTAATGTTTCGTAGGTACTCTATCTTCTCATCTGAAGTTTTTTAAAACGCGTTCATTTCACACAGGCAATATTTGAAGGGCATTCATTACTCAATCTTTCAACTAGGGCTTAGTGAGCCATAATTCTAGCCACGAAAAATGTACCATTTTTTAGTTTGGCATTAATTTTGATTACTGCTATTCTAAACTGACTTTTTCAGTGATTACACAGGTGGGCACCTTTCGGCATTTCTTCATGCTTCACCACTTTTGAAACCACTATCCTCCAGTTTCGTTCAATCAAACCTTTTGCAGAATGTACCGGGCATACTTGGTGTTGAAAAATACCTTGCTGAATATCATCTTATGGCCGACTCTAAAATGGGCGAACAACTTACCTCTGTGAAGGTTCTATCGCCAGGTGAGGGGCGATGGCCCGCCAGGAACTATACACGCTATGGGATTTCACAGTGTCTCTTCCGAGGTTTTGAGGATTTGCTCGGTCGAAAGACCTTCAAGAGATGGATCTATGCTTTCTTCTTCCGTCTCGCTATACCATTCCCGTTGAAGATGACGGCGGATGGTAATCCTATTCCGTCGCCTCTTACTCTCACCATTATATTCCGCCTTATAGCTCATTTACGTATCGTAGGTTATCCCTGTCATTGGATGACTGACGTTTTCTATAGAATATTAGAAAACCAAGTCCGAACTAAAATCAGTCTACCGCCTCAGACACCGGAATCAGACACCAAAGGGAAGCGCAAACGTCCTAAAAAGCACCTTATCACTATACCATTTGTTCAAGAGATGGCAACACTTGCAAGAATATTCGAACCTCTGCTGCCTTTCTCACTGCCCTCTCCAGCTCTCATTCCAGAAGCGAACGATATCTTCAACTACGAATTCCACCTTCCTAATGTCATCCGCAAACGAGATCCTTCCATCCGCCTTATACTTATCTTTTACAATTGTGACAGCCTGCGTAAATGTGAAATGAACATACCAGCTTTACTCTTCTCAATTGTGGGAGTCCCGAAGGCCGTAGACGGTGCAGCAGATAGATCCGCTGAGATTGCAGATTTCAAAGAAAACGGATTATTCCTTTGGACTACAATAAAATATGATGCAGAGCAGAGCATTGTAAGTGCTTGGATGCCCAGCAACTTTGTTGAAAAGGTGGAAGCGGACCCGTGGAGGTGCGGGCTATGGAGAGTGGATACTTGGGAGAATGTTCATTCTGGAACTTGTACGATAAAGGGCTCAATAGTTCAAGGAGAGAGATGGGGAGATACTGCCAGTGTATAGATATGGGATTTTGTGGATTGAGGACTGTTGGAGTATATTTTGAATAGAGTTCCTCAGATGCCATTTGGAAAGGGGACTCTCTTTAACTCCATAGGAGTATACGGTGTGTTGTTACTTTAAGTCCGTTAAACATAGATTAGAATAGAATTATCCGGACAATCTGCATGTCAAAAAACATCTATTCATTTGCAAAATGTGACTTTGTATTTGCCATATTTGGACCAATGGGTTCTTTTATCAGTTGAATGCTCAAGTCTAGTACCCCCTTTTCGGATCACCATTTTACACCGAAAATAACGATTTTCATTTATTAATAAATTTGCAACGAATGGATTAAATCAATTATAATATCCTTAAAAATATTTAAATAGATCCTGGAAATTTGAGATTTTTGATGATTTTATTGATTGAAATATAAATGATTGAATTTTGAATTTTCAATTTTTATAGGATTTGTATACAAATTTAGAAATGATGAAAACCTTGAATAATCTTCAAATAAAAATAGCTAAAAATAAATTGTGATTTTTTTTAAAAAAAATATTTAAACTGTAATTGATTAAATAAATTAATTTATTATAAAATCAAGTTATAATTAATCTTTTATTAATATTTATATCTTATTATACAAGATCTTTTATAAATAAATATCCAATCAATAATTAAATATTAATTGTGTTTGATATGATTTCGCTTAGAGTGCGATGATTAGAGTTCAGGACTCTTATATTTGATCTCAGGCTGTTATAAACATGCCATTTCTAACAAACCTGTCCCATTCCCTTTTTGGACACCAAATGCTAATCCTCACTCCCATACCTCACTTGCATTTGTCCATTCTCTTTGTTCTTCTTGATTCGAGCTTTAGTGATAAAATCTTGTCTAACGATTCTGAAGGTAAGAAAGTTGAAGACCGCAGAGTAAAAAACATCATTTTATGGTCGACGTTTAAATCTGATGCTGTAAAGGAGGAAGGAAAAGCATGGATGCCAAAAAAGACGACAGAGGAGATTATTGATAGAAGATAGGAGTGTAGTATTATGAGAAGAGAAGTGTGGGAAGTCGTTAAGAGCATTCCAAAATCAACTTCAGCATGTATCGGAGATTGTGATGAAGATGGGGAAAATGGGGAGGATGTACAGTGTTACGAGGTTAGCCGTCTAGATCACTTGGAAGTGCTCTAGGCTCTCGAGGTGATTTATAACTAGGCGTCAAGCAGGGACTTAAAGTAATGAGAATAATGCAATTTGTAACTAATAATAGAGTATACTAAATGATTGATCTTGAGCACGAAGCTCTATACAAAGGGAATCCATCTTGGTTATATAGATATTCATGCTCCCTTGGATCCTTTTGGATCCTAAGCTCCAAAGGCCCCATTAGATCTTTTTGGATCCTCAAGCTCCAAAAGCTCCAAGTCACGTGTTTTCTGACAGTGCGTGCGCATACGATCCTAAAGTGACCCAGTGTTACGAGGTTTGCCGTCTAGATCACGTGGAAGTGCTCTAGGCTCTCGAGGTAGTTCATAACTAGGCGTCAAGCAGGGACTTAAAGTAATAACAATAATGATATGCAATTCGTAACTAATAGTAGAGTATACTAAATGATTGATCTTGAGCACGAAGCTCTATACAAAGGGAATCCATCTTGGTTATATAGATATTCATGCTCCCTTGGATCCTTTTGGATCCTCAAGCTCCAAAAGCTCCAAGTCACGTGCTTTCTGACAGTGCGTGCACATACGATCTTAAGGTGGCCCAGATCACATATTAATTCGATGAAATCTGATCGCTTTTGCACAAGGCCCAAGCTCTCCTAATTAGTCAGTTGTTACCATCGTAACACTACTTTAACAAATGATTATATTTATAAAAATAATAAAATAAACTTTCAAATTTTCAAATTTGAATATTTCGATTCAAAATCATAATTTAAATTTTGAAATTTATTTTTGAAATTTTGCTAGATTATATAATTAAAATAGAAAATGAATAACGTGGTTTATCAGGACCCTGTACATATCAGGACCCTGTACACTTTTACCTCAATTGCCCACATTCCATTGAAATAAAATTACAACAATACTATAAATTAGAATTAAATTATATACAATTCAAAGATCAATTAATGCTGGATCTAATTGACAAATTCATACATTATGTAAAGCACTACCACATTTGCTACATCGTCGTATAGTAACTTACCTCCTTGCTGAAGAATCATCATTTGTAAATTCATCATATCGTATCTGATCTTCTACATTCTCTTGTTCTAATATATCATATTTATCTTCTACTGAAAGTACTCCTCCTTTTCGTATTAAAGCTTTTCTAGCTCTTCAATGTTTACTAAGTGCTTCATTTGCTTTGCGAAGACTATGAACCTCAGCAGCTAAAAGCGTATTCACATGAACTAAGAGCTCTGTATCTTTAACTAAAGCTGCAACTGTTTTAAATATTGGAGTAGGTGAGCTCCCTTGATATTGAGCAATACGACTTTTCATTAAAGTAGATTGAGAAAGAGCTTCAATTGGATTGTGAGGTATTTGAGATTGTCATATATCAGGATCGGCTGATATTGATCTATTTGATGGAGTTCTTATTCGAATATCTAGCTTTGAAAGTACAATTTCCGGATTAAATGGGATTAGCCCAGCTCCGCGGAACTCAGCTTTACCATTTGATATAGATATTGCTTCGATATATGCAGTTTTGAAGGATTGAAAGAACTCGGTTTTGGTAATATAAGTGATATACACCTTGATAAAGTTCTCGATTTGTCGATTATATGAATATTTTAAAGGACCAAAACAATCGATATTGAGTGATTGAGTTAAATGCGAAGAATAAGGTGGTAAAATAAATAATATAATATCGTGTTCCTTGCAGTATTCCTGAAATGCTGGCGATTTATAATTTTCATGCCCATCAAGTACTAATATTCGATATCTACCCACTTTCCTACTTTCAATATGTTTGTTGAAGTGCTTAATCCATTCAAGATCTGTCTCGTTATCTGTTCATTTATTGATAATAGGTTTAATAAGCCAATCGTATGGTAAATCACCTTCGGTATACCGATTTGAAAGATGGTATTCGCCTTTTACTATCAAAAACAGAGGTATATTATAACCTTCTCCATCAATACAAATAATCGTTATAGCCCATTCTCGATTGCCTAATTGTATAGCTTTGCTTTTTCCATATCGATCAGCTTTAGTAACTATTATATGTAGTGATATTTGTCCCATTATAAAGCCTGTCTCATCAAAGTTGTAGAAATCGCAGTCCAGAATACTATATTTGGCCTGCATATTTGATACCAATCGAAACCATCTTTCAATAAACTCTGAATCTTCGCAGAAAGCTTTTTGAAAGTTATAAACACAATTAAAACGCGTCTTTAATTCTGTATATCGTTTCACAAAACGATGAGTCTAGAGCTTTCCAATCTTCTTCGCATCCTGCGTTTCGAGTATATAATTCGCTATATCTTCTACATCACTTATTCGAGGACTAAACCCTCTTTCATCTATATCCAATATATATTGAAGAAGCGATTTCTCCTCCAATTCTGTCATTTTATGATTTGCTGATCGATGTTCAGTAAAAGGCAGAATTCCATTCATTCTAGAGGTAAGGGTAGTATGAGGTATATTATAGAGTTTTGCAGCTTTCCGAATACTCAAATTTTGAGATGTACGAATAGCCTTAATAGCTAAATTGATTCGAGCTTCTTTTGAAGTAGTTTGCATAATTAAATATTGATAAATCGCGTGTTGAAGTTGAAGGATGATAATTGAGGTAAAAGTGTACAGGGTCCTGATATGTACAGGGTCCTGATAAACCACGTTATAACAAATTTAATCTAATTTTCATAGGGAAATGTCACGAACCGCGACTAATATTATACAATAAAAACAAGTACGGAGGTTTAGGCTGTTGTTTACCGCGGTTCCTGTAACGATACTATACTGGAGGCAGCGGCTACCTAAGGTTTCGTCTGGTTGGTAGTTGTGGGTTAAGGCTTTATCACTGGTCTTCACTTGGAAGTGAAGTCGTTACTAGATCAAGTAGAATGTAGGTAAACTAATTGATAACTAAGTTGAGCACGAAGCTCCTTAACCACGAGACTAAATGAATGTTTATATACCCTATATCATCTTTTGAGGACCCTTCGGTCCTCAAGGTCCTCGAGGTCACGTGAATTAATGAATCGTGACAGTTCCCTTATCAATAAGGAATCCTAGGACAAGTGTCCTAGGATAAAATGTGTCCCAGGATAATAATTATCCTAGGACAAAACGATTAGGCAACCATGAAGGCATAGGACTAGTGTCATAGGACGTTAGGCGTCCCAGGATAAAGTATCCTAGGATAATATTTGTCCCAGGATTAGTATCCTGAGGCCAATAAGAGATCATGTGATGTGATAGCTCTGCTAGCTGGCTAGCAGAGCTAGCATTCAAGGAAACGATGAGTATATAGTTAGAATAGTTTCATAGTCTAGGAGCTTCGTGCTCAACTTAGTTATCAATTAGTTTATCTACATTCTACTTGATCTAGTAGCGAATTCACTTCCAAGTGAATACCAGTGATAAAGCCTTATGTTACGACGGTATTCAGTTATGACTAAAACCCGTATCGCATAACTAAACAAGGGGTCACGTGGTTCCACTCGTCCCATCGATTTAAATCGAGGGGAACGGTGGGACATACGGCACGAGGGTCTATATAATCAAGATGGATTCCCTTTGTATAGAGCTTCGTGCTCAAGATCAATCATTTAGTATACTCTACTATTAGTTACGAATTGCATCATTGTCATTACTTAAGTCCCTGCTTGACGCCTAGTTATAAACCACTTCGAGAGCCTAGAGCACTTCCACGTGATCTAGACGGCAAACCTCGTAACAAGTAGATGATTTTTCGTGTAAAAAAGTGGTTTAACTAGTATAAGTGGTCTAGTACTGTAGATGATGATCATTCAGAGAATGAGGATAAATCCTGCAGTTTTGATAAAGATAAAGACTGGGGAGAACAGCAAGGCAATGAAAATAGAAATAGAATGAGAGCAGTTACTTTCTTTCTATAATGGAACTTTGCCCCGAGTTCTATAAATACTGTGGCTATTCGCACATTTTCAGTAGATTTCTCAACAATAACGTAATGATGAATGAGGATATAGTTTGAAAGAGGTTCACGAGCCCTCCTCTTGTAATTCAGATGGGAAGTTATGCGAAGACAATTGATAACACGTCTTCGTCTCAAGCTTTCTGATGGATGGAGGCCGGAAAAGTCTTAGATGTGTTTAACCATAACGTGGTACAGAAATACAACCACCAAGATACATTGTTCGTTGAGTTCGCTTGAGCCTAGCTTACTTGCTAGAATCTTTCCGACTGCTATTGCTCTACAATTGCAAGACAGATTCCAAACAGGACTTCCAAATTCCATTTTTTATTTTCGATACTCAACTATGAGCTTATTAGATATATGCACCCCACGCTATATTTGCCGTGCTCAATTACACTGGTTCTAAATCGGCTTCCTGCACCACTGTTACAATGCCTGCTATTCAAATATCTTCTCATGCAACAACATCCACAACAATAAGAAGTCGTAACTCCTTCCCCTCATCAATTGTAGATTAAATCGCTGCATCTCACTCCAAAGTCCTTATTCTAAATGGATGAATTCCTCAAAACGGGAGATTAATCCCATTAAGAAGCCATTGCAGGACTGATATAGCGGGGAAATATAACCACAAGGATGTAATTCGAGGACCAACATTCCAATCCACCATAAAGTCTCACTTGAGATAAGAATACCCTCACACCACAGAATTCTCCACTCCCAAAATTCCATCCCCATCTTTCCACTTTTCCAGCAGCCCGATACTATTCGTCGCCCCATTCTCATCTGCAGTCTCACCCAACCCTTTATACACATTCGCCCAACCATTTCATCCCCCCGCTCCGAGGTATACTCCACCTCTGCACCTCTGCATGCACCCTACTTGCTTTACTCCATCCTCAATTCATTCTTTCTTTCTTTCCTTCGAATCCTATACCGACCAATAGAAAAGTACCACGACGTAGTATCCACTCCTCCAACCCAACACCTGGCATCAACTCCTCACTTTACTTATCTTCCCTCCACAAGCACTCGCTTCGCTGGTAGCTACCCCATAAAAATCGGCATGAAAGCCGATAACCTATCGATGCAGGAAACTTTTTCTACAGACTAACAGCAAGCAGCGTGGTTTAAAGAAATTTCCTCCACAGCCACGCTTGCGCCTCCATATTAACATACCCATGCTGTTGTACTCCGTATATTCTCAAATTCTAGCAGAATAACGCACACGTGATATAAGGGTCCATTTGCCAGTATGCTCAGTTGGCCGGTGGGCCCTTCTATGTGCTACTTCAACTTTTGTTGCATGTCTGAACATCCACTCTTCGTGCATACCTTGAAACCACGTGATGGAGGTAGCATAGCTCCAAATATAATCTGGTGATCTAACCCAACAAATTCTATAGCTAGTAAGCAGTCAAGGCGCTTCATAAACCACAATTCCGTCGCAAAATCTCTTTACTTCCTTCCGACCACGCTACCTTGCAATCATCACCTTACCTCACCTCATCCCAATCGTGCCATACCTCTTTCCTCTCACCTCTCTCTCACCTCTTTCTCACAACTCACCTCCCAACATGCCTCCTCCAATCCTCCAACCCAACAACTCAGCCCAACTAATTTAAAAACTCAAAATCAAACTCAAAATAAAACTTTAACTATACTCCACCAATGCACGCACCCATCCATCCATCCGCGAATCCATCATCTACCGGTACCCATACTCCGTAGCCATCCACAAACTCCACTCTCCCCTCTCCTCCCCATTCCTTCCCCTTCCACTCGCAGACTCCCATGCACCCACGTTGATCATCCACTATAGGTACCTCTGCACGTATTGCCCGACGAAAGACTTTGTATACTGCGTATTCGGAGCACGGATTGGGTAGCTGATTTGTGTACATGGTAACATGATAGAATATAATATTAGATTAGATAATAGAATACAATGTAGGGGCCCAATGTAGAGGTAGAAGTAGCGGGAAAAGCCGTGGCTGGTATCCCATTTCTCCTCAGATTTTAAACGCCCTGAACTCCACCAGGTACTTTAATTTATCCATATGATAACATGATATGACAGCACGCTCACCGCATCGTTATAATCACGTGGGATGGTTGTCTGTACCAAGCTTTGTTGAGAATAGATATTAAAATCCAGTTATTGAGTTAATTAATCAATCACTCCATCATACCCATCCTCATTATTTCATCATCACTATCCAATCACTCTATTCTTATCTTATCTACCCTTATCTATCCTTACCTAAGTACGCTTCTACCCTTAGCTTATCATTTCCCATCTTCAACCTCTCTATCTTAGAGCCCGTCCGACGACCAGCTCACAGATATACAATTTGAAATATAAAATACTTTTAGTATAGAGTTTGTATTTATATTTGAAAATATTATTCTTTTAGTAGCTTAAAAAATACAACTTTAATTTGTAGATAAATAAATAAATAAATAAATAAATAAATAAATAAATAAATAAATAAATAAATAAATAAATAAATAAATAAATAAATAAATAAATAAATAAATAAATAAATAAATAAATAAATAAATAAATAAATATGTTAAAAGGAATAGAAGTTACCGGTACTAATCACGTGTCGTGATTAGTAATACGGTTACCTAAACAGGCTAGATTAGACGAACCATAAGCAGGCATATTGGTCCCCTTAGAGGATACCAAGAGGAGATCAATATGCCTACACACGTAGTAATATAGTCAATATAGAGGCCTCTTCCACCCAATCTTTTAATAAAATAAATAAATAAATAAATAAATACACAATACACTTTTAATTAAATTTATAAATCTATTTCCAAAACGAGTGAATTCATAATTTGGAAAATAATCACCAGTGAAATTTGTCAATTTTCAAGAGCTGATTATTTAATAAGTTTTTATCTTTTTAAATTATCAAGCTCAAAATCTATAAATAAACCAATCTATAATAATCATCTACTTCCAAATCCAAATCCAATCCCATACAGAATTCAAATCTCTTACCAAATCGATATCCTACAATTACACATTACACTCCCTCCCTCCCATCACCAATTTCCCTTTCCTCCCCTTCCCTTCCCCAATCCAACACACAATCCACATCCACATCCATAAATAACAGCATAAACCAACCCGAACCCACCTATACCAAGTTCCATCCCAAATCCATCCAAACTAACCGGTACATACCATACCGGTACATACCGCTCCCACACCAAGCTCAAAAAGCCTCCTACGCACTATCACCATTACTCTTCCACCAAAAACTGAAACAGATGAAAATCAGGGTATCTATCCATCTAATGTACAAGGTATCTAACTGTACCCCGAAATTACATACTTGGTGGTAAGCGTAAATCGTTACCAAATTTGTACTTTCGTAAGCCCTAGATACAAGTATGGAGTAGTGTAATGTACAAGTAGTACGTAATCATCTTGGAATTTTAAGGGTTCAGTGAGAATGCACTATGATAAGGAGTTATTGTTTGTTTTGATAATTGTTTATTTATATTTCCTTGGTATCTTTCTTGTACATCTGGTTCAGTCCAGCTAATAAATATTTACATGGTAAATAAAACAAAAGAGGTGTCCCCCGAAGAAATCGCTTCAAGCGCGAAAAATGTCATATCTCATAAAGGTACATGAAGTACACTTCCACCATTGCCAGTTCCCTTCATGCATATGTATGCATTGTAACTCCCGTCCATCCCAAGCATCTAAATATCCCTCGACCCCTTGCCCTAAGACCTAAAAATATCTTCCTCAAACTATAAATGTCCATCTACATTCAATAGTCTCAAGACCCTTCAGGATGAAATGGTGAAAAAGAAAAGTGAACCAAGACAAGAAAACCCTCATGATATGCATCAGTGACATCACCTGGCATTCTTCCTCAAAAACCGCTCAAGCTACGCAAGCTCATTTCCTTCTCGAGAATTTTTTCGAGCCCCATTGATTACGAAACCAATCATAAGCTTCCACGCTCTGTGGGGTATTTGGGAAAGTCGGATAAAATGCAAGGATAAAAAGATTGTAAACCATGTAATCTTTTCTCTTGGCGTATTGATGAGGAAGAGAGGCTGTGTGCATGCGTTTTTTGAGGATATATTATTCTTTTCGATAAGTCGTGCTTTTCTGGAAAAATATTGAGTGGAAGATATTTCCGGCATTTTTTTGGCTCGTGATGGCTCGAGTTGATGGTAATGGTAAGAATGAGATCATGTTGTAGAGTGAGGTTGTATTGAATTTGACCGTGTACGTCGTAATGCAGTTGTTCGGCGGGGTAGATGTACTGGTGGTGATGTGATGTGACGCGACACAATCACATATCTAAAAGCTTCTGCTTTGCGGTATCCTGTAACATGTCTGTACATTGATCTTTCACCAAGAAGTAATGGTAACGCAAACAGTAGTACTGTATTGTAACAAATCGGTATCGTTAATAGGTCCAATCGTGCCATCAAATCGTAACTCCGTACTCCAGATCCTATTCCCCTTCCCATGCCCTTCTCTACAGGCAGTATTCCTTTAACTCCAATCGACCCCATGGTATCCATCTTTCCATCCTCCATTCCCTGATCCTTTCTGCGTTGTTGTTGTTGTTGTTAAGTTGTGATTGTCGCACTGTGTGCTCTCTTCGAAACCCTTTCATCAAACCTCACTTCACTTGTAACCAACCATTTTTGCACAACGATCACAATAATATAAGTTGTGACCAAATCGTACCATTCCACTAGCACTTGCATCATCTGTGCTAACTCTGCGTAACTCGTTACCGTGGTATTGCATTGTGCTGATAGTTTCGACAGTTTTGGCACATCGTGAACAACGCATAACTTCTACCCTTGGTTCCATAGAGTATGAGGAGGAAGAAGAGGAGGAGGTGGAGGAGGAGGAGGAATCTGAGGAGACTCTGGAGAACGCGAAAGAGGACATTGTGTATATGTGTATCGTATTATGGTGAGGTATGGTAATGTGCAAGCGAAGAGTGTCGAAGCAGTAAGGTAGGTAGGTGTTGTGTCTTTTGTATAATCCTTTATATCGTTGATTGTTGATGTTGATTGTTGATGGTTGAAATTGTGATGAGCTATCGAGTATATGATATATCTCAGAAGACCCCTACACAAGATATAATGTGTTTCGGAAAGGTTGTGCTTGATATGTACCTCTGTCCACCAAAATAGAAAAAGCGACAGATCCTTGGCTTGAAGTGCGGGCAGATGCAACCGTAGTAATATGTATAGGAAAGTTAAGTGCTGCGCAATGTTATACGCACTAGGTGACTAGGTGACTCGGTGGATCAAAAACTAGAAAAGAAGTTTTTTACAACTTTCCAAGCGGCTTTTCGGACTTTGACATTAAATTATCCAAATTGATAAGAGTGTGTAATGAAATGATTTCGTTAAATGAAAATGCCAATGCCAATGCCAATGAGGAGCCTTATTCAAGTAGAGTAGGTAGTCGAAATCAAGGCGGGGAAGGAAGTCGTCTCAAGATTTCTTTAATTTTTTCCCAACAGGGACCGAAGTCTTTTCCGCAAAAGACCGATCGAAATATTAGTTTTCGATCTCAAGGCTACTCCAAGGATATGGAACAGAGGAGTTAAGCTATTCTGAAGAGGGTATCCAGCGTGTAGATCAGCGACGGGGATATATGATGTTGAAGGGTGTGCGGCGTGCGCTTGTTTAGAACCTTGGGTAGCTTTTGATATGAAGGAGGGAAAAAACCAGTAATGCGAAAAGAAGAGTTGATTGATGGATGGATCTGAAGGTTATGTTCAATGAGGTAAAGCGGGGAAAGGGCAAGATCAATGGGAAATAATCTTCGCAAATTCTTTGTCGGAGGTACGCGTAAAAGTTTGTGATGTCTCTGAAACGATTGATAAGTACCCAATGATACGTATCTTTTTCTCTTGGGTGATGATAAGAGGAGACAGGTGATTGTGTGGTCTGATGCAGATGAAAATGGGGCCTGGTCAATAAGTTGTCTACGGTGTCTACGGTGTTCAAGCTGTCTTATAGATTGTGCGGGAATGAGCTGGAAATAAGATCCCAAAGCAGTCGGATGTGCAGCTGTAATTATTATGTTCGTGCTTTGATTCTTCGACTGTGGATTCCTTGTTGGCTGTGGATGTGGATTTCGGAGTGTAATAAGTCACCACTTTTGAGGGAATTAATTGTTTTAACTGTGATTATGGATGACCTCGGGACACTTGTGCTCATACGGAATTGGCGGTTTGCATTTGTAGACAGACTACCAGTAGGCTGTAGATTTACTAGGCTGTCGACTTGGTAAATCGGTATCGTCGGATGTACGGAGTTGTGCACACGGATGCTGGAGATTGTAGTGCGTGTCCGACTGCGATATATTGGTGAAAGGGATATTTTGATGAAGGGCTGAGGGCGAGGGGCTAGGGGCTAGGGGCTACAGAATGGTTCTTCGAAATTAGAGAAAGCAGAGAAGCAGAGAAAGCAGAGTACTGTAGTTTAGTCCCTGCCGCAATGTGAAAATCGATTTGTACCCTGAAGATCGAATGGGAATCACCCGTGAGTTGTGGGGAGTTATTGGCAGTAGTATTGAATTATGGACAGATCTCCTACTTCTTCGAGTTAACAGTATGCGGAAAACCGGGGAACTGGTCAAAGTATATTATTACTGTAGCCTGTAGCCTCAAGATGATATGGTCGATCAAACCAGCTACGGAGTCCCATGCAACCATCACCATTCCCTGTCTCCTTTATGCCTCCTACGCCTTAGTACTGTAGTTACCTTCCCCAAATCAGAGACTGTACTTTTGCTTTCTAGGTTAGCAGCAACATCAATGAACAGCACACCAATTGCCTTTCGGCACTCGGTTTCCTCAGATTTCAGAATTGCTGCCGGAAAATCCCCTTCACTCGGGGCAAGTCGCTCACCAGTACGAGTGGTGGAGGTACTGAGCAATTGAACAATGAACATAGTCTCCACTAAAGCTTCAAGGTTGTGAGCACAACTGGTAACAACAATGCCCCAAAGAATTCCTCCCACTATATTAAACTTTCAACTATAATCCACCAGACAACCTCATAAAGTTTTACAGTGCCCAACTGTCTTGGGAGCGAGATGAGAGAGAGGCATCAGCAGAAGATCAAAATCTCTCAGGTTTGATGAGAGCGGTTTTCGGGAACAAATGTCAGTCCCGAAGATCAAAGTTAATATACCGACCCCAAAGTTTAAAGCAACCTTATCTCCCTTTCCCCTTTCAAACAATCCCAAGGATGCGACCGTACTGGTCCTTAATTTGATGGCCAAACGAAGAAAATTCATGGGAGCTACGACCATTGGTTGAGAACCCTTATCAAACTCCTCTTTTCTTAAACCTAAGGTATCCTCTCGTTCTTGCAGAAAATTTAATTCTCCGATCCAAACAAAAAGGAAATGCCCGAAAAACAATCTCCATTTTTGAAAAAAAAAAAAAAAAAAAAAAAAAGAGAAAAAAAAGAGTCAAAATAAAGTCATCAAGTGACTCGGAAAAAAAATGTCCACGGGTCTCTTGGACATGATCGTATTGGTACAAGCTTACCATACATCCAAACGAACCCGCAATATATGTCCGCCTCGCATCGAGAAACTTTAAGAGATCAGTGGTTTCTCGAGGCGCTACCCTACTCACTCGTCCCTCGAGCATAGGGCTTGTCGATGAACTCTAAGAGCTTGTCATGTACCTGTGCGTCCAAATCGTGGTCTAACCTAACAGAAATAGCTTTTTCTCATGTACTCCGTATAAATGTTGTGTATCAGAACTCATTTTTATCCTTAGGGCGATCGAAGAAACATGAGGGATCGATATTGGAATTTTATATGGAAATCTCGAGAGAATTCTATCGAATTGATGGATCCGCTGAAACTATCGAAAATATTGGATCTACATTGATTTGTCAGATAGAAGGGGACGTCTGATCGGAGCTAGTCGAAAGACTGAGATCTGATGTACCAAGCACCGCGGATGAATCCTTCCGTCTACTGCACTTTTATAAGGGATGCAGAATAATTTACGAAAATATGGTCAGAAACAATTTACTTGCCGTGCCTCTAGTCTTGATTTTGGAAAATGACATGTGAAGAATAAGTTCAACGTTGTGAAAGCCACAATCAACGGATGGGCTTACTTATTAGGATCTGCATCCATGGTGTCGCCAGGTAGTACAGCAGAATACAGCAGACGTTAGTTTCGACAATGTGAAGATTCTCTAGAAACATCTTTGAGCGGAGATAATCCTCCTTTTGCCATGAGATATTCGATGCCGTGCAAACCATGTTTGCTCCCCAAGGCTTGTTTGGCATGGCATTTAATTAATCTGCATCAAAATATCCACTTTGTATGTTTCGATAATCAATAATCACCAAAGCACATGGTACACTTGCATCAACTTGCCAATCCATATATCGCATGCTCCCCTACGATCTCGATCTGTATATGTCTATTGTAGGTATGGAAGGAAAACTATCACACAAGCTTGATTACTTGATTACTACATCCCAAGGCCATGCGATCAGACTAGTTAGTGACCGACCAGCGACTCGCCGACCAACTCTTCTTTCTTCTCTTCCCGCATAACCTTTTCCTGCTAAGCCAAGTTTCCCTCCTCAACCTTATTCTCTCTGTACCCCGCGGACTCCGCAATCACCGCAATATCCATGTGAATATGAAATTTAAGTTTCATGTCAAACAGTCCCAAAGACCAATAAAGACTCGAGAGATAATCTTTAGCAGGGTAAGCTGCTGATGTGATGATCATATGGTTAAGGGGATAAATAACTTAAACTTTAGAGCTTTTCCCTACCGGACTCCAGATCTACAGAATCACCGAGGGATTTGGGGATGGTTGCCTGGTATTCAAAGGGATGTATTACAAATTGTACGCGTCCTCCTTATAAGGCTGTGCAGTGTGTTGTCGTACTTGAATTAGTCACTGTCTTATTTATCTCATACCTCGAGGAATTATGAATGCGAGTACGATCTAGAGTGATTAGTGAGCATGTTATGAAATTCTATAGCTTCGGTACCTAGGTACTGGTAGATGATCTTGGTTCTCACGAACCTGCTGATCACTTACTCTAGGTACCCCAAACTTATTCTTGGCTAGAAAGTGGCTGGAAGTGGCTGGTTCCTCACCACCACTGATTCCTCTTGGGTATTCTCCGATAATCCGGATGTTGTCCTACGGAAAGGAGGGCTTACGCTACGTACCGAACGCTTTGACTACCATTGATTTGATTTGATTTGTTTGTTGATTTCAATGATAGTTGAGGTGTCGAGATTGGTGACAGCTTCATGTTTCCTACTCTTCCTACATCATACATAGACTAGGTTCTAATTCATATGACCGCCAGTAATATCGTTTCATGTTTTGTTTACGCAAATGCATAGCAATTTTCAAGAAGGTCTAGACTGAAGCTTGTGATTCGTTCAAACTTCATGTTCCTGGACCGTTTGAACTTTCATCATAACTTGGAAGTTGAAGCTAGGAGCTATGACTTCCGAATTCCTTTCCTAATGACGGCACTTACGCTGTACTTCCAATCATCTACGTTTCTTAGAGGCTAGTCATACTACAATGTGATGATAAATTATAAACTATCTTCGGCCTTACTCTTCTTTGTTTTTTTCCCTCGGCATTTCCTTTTGTGGCTTCTTCAAAGTTCGATTAAAGAATTTTCTTAATTTTAGCCTCAACGTTCGATGAAATTCTTTGCATCGGAGCTTGATATCAATAGTTTCACAAGCCAACCACTATCTCGGTATTTTGTTCCGATGATGGCGTGTTCGACTTTCTTGGCTAACGACCTGAAGCTTCTTGTGTTTTCAAATAATGTTTATTGATCGTAGACAGTAGCATGATATCAGAGAATCCAGAGCTCTTGCACCCTGCTTGAGGTCTACTCGGTCACTATTTTTCTACCAGACTCTGCTCTGCAATGAGCACAAAGACTCAAAGTTCTAGACCATTCATGATACCACTTCAGTATACACTTCTTCAAATATAAAATCAAAAATGAAAAAGAACCTTAATTCACAAATTTCATACGCGGCGATGAATACACACTCGTATGGCGAATTAGAAGTCAAGTGACTTAGCTCTAGACCTTTCTTTTTCTTGTAAAATTGTGGAGACGCCTCGGTACGAGCCATGTGAGGACAAAACCAAAAAGTTCCGGTTTTTCTCACCCTCCCCTGTTCTTGTCTTCGATCACCACAAAACAAGAAAGGAGAAGGAGATCATTAAAGGAACGAACGAGGCTTCTTAAAATAAAGATCCCTGATTTCTGGGGTCGAGATTTTTCTCTCAGGTGAAATTGTTCTAGAACTCTAGATTTTCATTAAAATACCCATTTTTCCTTTTCTTGTAGGGAGACAAATCTATCAATTAGCGGAGAAGGAAAAATTAAGGGTGACTTCTATCCGTCTTCTAGAGTCTCTAATAAACGAGACAGACAAGACATAGCTGCGTGATTTAGGAGTTCAGAACTTCCTGACTCAGAAGTCTAGAATTTTTTTTCATGTCTCCTTGAAGATGCACTTTTGACGGATGTGGGCGCCTGCATATGCTCAAGGTTTCTGCCATGTGGTGGTGGTAAAGGGGGCCCCGAGTGGGGTGAGATCGTCAGATTCTAGAACATGTTCTTTTTTTTCATCCTTTGGACGTATCAGAATTGTGGAAAATTTCCATCCCGCGAACCATGATTGTCAGAATTAAATCGGACCTCAATTTTTGAGGATATACTCCGCAGTTGAATGGGGAAAGGAGATTGTGTCGTAAGGTTTTGCTTGGGTGGGCAATGTGTCCATACGAGATGTGCCACGGTGTCGTATGCATATGTTCTCGATCTTGGGAACTTGCAGTGTGGTGAATTTGTGAGGAGCTATTTATATTTCTGTTTCTTCTGCGAACACGTTTCATTGCTAGTACAGTCTACTTGTCAATCACATGCGATAAATTGAGAATATCCAATTCCATTAAGTCTACGGATAGCAGATATAGAACTTGAGCTTCTCAAGTGCTGGCTTGATGTCGTGGCGGAAGTTTCGGTTTAAGTGAGCTATATGGCATATGATGTTCCGGATCTAAAGGAGCTTTCAATAAACAATATCACAAAATGGCACGTTGCAGCTTTCGAGGGGGATATATTTCCTGGTCGCGATATCTTGACCCATCCAGTTTGACCAGCTGATGAATTCTTAATGCTCTTGAACAATATTGATTGATTATATGTACTGTGTGTGGTGTTCCTTTTCTGGGAAATTTCTGGACATATGACCTCTTTTCCGGACGTGGGTTCTGATTATGTTTTAAAATCGTGGGGGTACTTCAAGATCATGAATTGAGAGGATTGAAGCGGAAGTCAAAAATATGTATACCAAAGTATTCCTTCCCTTTTCGAGGGTATCGTTGTTTCTTAAATGAACCAACCCCCTTTAGAATACTTTCTCAAGGGAAAACAAGATCAAGTGATTTAAGTGATAAGATGTTGTAGATTGCTCGGTTTGGACTGTGATTACTAAGGATGGTATAGCTCTTACATCCTATTTCTGTACAAGAATGTTGTTACGAGGTTTGCCGTCTAGATCACGTGGAAGTGCTCTAGGCTCTCGAGGTGGTTTATAACTAGGCGTCAAGCAGGGACTTAAGTAATGACAATAATGATATGCAATTCGTAACTAATAGTAGAGTATACTAAATGATTGATCTTGAGCACGAAGCTCTATACAAAGGGAATCCATCTTGATTATATAGACCTTCGTGTTCTAGCTGATCAGTAGGATCAGTATGGCTCAGTACTGAGCTTGCTGATCCTCACTGAGTCAGTCACATGATATTGGTAACACGTGAGCGTCTTCTTGTTACCCGGCGTAACAAATGTCTGGTTATCATTTTAAATCTTATTAAATTATCTTAATCCGTATTATCTACCAAAGTAAAAATCTATCTTATAAGGTGTTACGACGGGCTAAACAACTACCAAGACACGTGATCACAAATGATCAATAGTG